TTTTCCAGCAACTGCAACGAATTCTTGCCAAATTAAATATGAAGGTTGAAGATGGAGACGGCTTGAGCATAATCGGTTCAGCTCTCGGTCCATTGATAGCCTCATGGAGAAAGAGAGACGCACATTCGGAGAGATATTTGAGGGTTTGTATTTACACAATTTTTGCGACTAACACTGTCAAGTTTCCTTATGAGTTTAATAATTAATATTGTACAATTATTCGAGTAATAATGATGGACATTAGTCACCCTCGCTTTACATATAGCTCCTGTTTGAATTTCGTTTTCATGCACTGTTACTTTGGAAGTCTCGATCTCCAGAGGTTCTGCTTCCAAATCGACTAATTTCTCTTTATCGACTTCCGCAATTGTCAAGGGGTCCTGATTCCCTCAAAAAGCATCAAATTGCTCGAAGGTTACCGAGCATTATCACAATTTACAAATTTTTGCATCCACTGCGATAGTTACCATATCCAAAACCCTTTTCCTACCTATCCAACAATTCTTCGAATTTTCGATTCTACGATAGAAAGGGACCGCGTACTCGAGGACCAGACTGTTCTATGAAACCGCTTGAGAGACCCATCATATTTATCGTTAAAGGCTCCGGTACAAACTTCGACCACACGGGAGCCGGCTGTGTTTGCATTACTAGAACACACAAACATCTCCCACCACCAAATACGCGGGTTCTAAGCTCAAATCTGGCATAATTTTTGTGGAGGAGTTCTAGGGCAATCGGACATTTTTTCAGGGTTTGTTATTTATACTTGAGTACTGCCTTGCCAACTCAATGGAGGATCACCAAAGTTTTGAATTGCTTGTAACTTCACTTGGATATAACACTGTACAGTTTTGGAGGTATTCATTTTCTAGTTCTCTTCAAAGCTTTTGAATTTCAGTCTTTTTGAATCCTTTTCGTTTTTCTACGAATATTTCAATGACATCCTTCGTAGAGTTTTTGCGTTTTTTATGGATTATTTCATTGCTGATATCAAGACATACATAGAGCAGAGGGAAATGACAGCGCTTCACTTTTGAATAAGCAAGAAAACCTAGGACCAAACCCATTGAGATTTAGCGAGCCTTCAGTTTTTTCAACAAGGTTTACTGATTGAGAATTCAGTGAGATTCACATCAAGTTACTTGTGCATTGGCTGACACTGAAAGTAAATTTGCGTAGGATAAGCTTAAGAAGTTTTTGTGACTCCAGGATGAAAAAGAGTTTGAGGCCTATCTCAAGGGGTAGCTCTAACATGGACTCTTGTGCTCTTGTAATCCAATCTTGGCATCATTTCTTCAGTTGTTATTGTTCGGACTCTGATTCTCTGTTTAATATGGATCCACTCATTCGACAATAATAAAAATTTTAAGAGCAGCAGTGCCGAACATTTTCGATTCGGATCTCGCCTATGGAACAAAGTTCAGGGATTCATTATTGTTCGCTCTCACGTTATACGATGTGAACACTGGGAAAAATCGGCTGCGGTAAGTCAATTGAGCTTAAGCAAACAAAGAGATAGCGAAAAACAAAATTTCAAATAATATTTGTATCAATATGGGAAGAGGTGTAGTGGCAAGCTGCGCGCTATCACAGACGCCTAGTCACGGGATCGAATCCCGGCTAGGCCAACAAAGGTGCGCTATCTTTCCGTGGTCGTTTAATTGGTACCAGTTATTCTTCTGGGAAGGATAAAGCACTAAATTGTATATATATCGGCTCGCCACCACCTCGGCATTGTAATATCAACCACATACGCATTACATGCGCCACTACGATTTTGAATAGATGTCAAATGCGGGTGCGCATATCTCAAACGGGATGAATTACCGCCAGAGGCTTCATCCATTAATTGTCTTGAGTGTAATGACTAAACCATACGGCTACCTATTGGGTTTGACGAGAGCAATGTTTCAATTCTTTTTTGATGTCTTTTGCAATCCAGTGATGTTTTAACTTGTTGATATTTGCAATTGGGTTTCTGTCGGGTCTCACTCCATAAAAGAAATTAGGGTAGAAACGCGTGACAGTGATATTTCAAGTAATGGAGAAAAAATCGAGTGACTATGTACCCTTCAAGTGTGCCCAGGAGGTTCGTCTGTTTTTGAACTCTATGGAATTTTGCGTAATAGATGATGGCCAGGGCGGAGGTGGTGTAGTGGCAAGTGGCGCACTATAACACACACACGGTCAGGGGTTCGAATCCCGGATCGATGCCTGCCTAGGCCA